TGCACTCCGCAAATACACAAATTGGACAAAGTTCAGGATGGCGAAGAAGACGTTTGTCGTTCTTGGTAGGCCTGACATCCACGCCCACTCTACAACAACCACCACCCCAAACTCGTACTAACCATTTTCCCCAGAAAACCACCCAGAGGTGATGAAAGCCCTGGCCTCCAAGCTCGGCATCTCTCCCAGCCTCACCTTCCACGACATTTACTCTCTCGACCTTGCCGACCTGAGCTACATCCCCAAACCCGTCGTCGCCCTGCTCGCCATCATCCCCCCAACCCCAGCTTGGGGCCGCGACCGCCAATGCGAAGACGCCGCAGGTCTCGGCCTAGACTACCACGATCCCTCCTCCCCAAAATCCAAATCGCCCATCATCTGGTTCAAGCAGACCATCGGTCACGCCTGCGGCTCCATCGGGCTCCTCCATTCCGTTCTCAACGGCCCCGCGTCTGAGTACATACTCCCAGGGAGTCTCGCCGAGAAGATCCGAGACGCGGCGGCGCCGCTGGGCATGGACGCGAGAGCGCAGATGCTGTACGACTCGCAGGAATTTGAAGAAGCCCACATGGCGTGTGCCCATCTCGGGGATACTGTTGCGCCGGAGGCGACGAGTGAGGTTCCGACGGGGCATTTCGTGGCATTTGTGAAGGTGGATGGGCGTCTGTGGGAGTTGGAGGGGAGCAGGCAGGGGCCGATTGATCGGGGGGAGTTGGGGGATGATGAGGATTTGTTGAGTCCGAGGGCGCTGGAGCTGGGGTTGAAGCGGATTATCACGCTGGAGAAGGAGGATGGTGTTGGGGATATTTACTTCAGTTGTCTTGCGCTGGTGGGTGAGGAGAAGGCCTGATCTTGGTTCTTGCTAGCCAGTCTGGTTTCTAGGGTTGCAGGGTCCTGTCTTCACCGGCCGTGGATAGGTTGGGGAAATATACAGAGTCTATCCTGTGGTGCGGGTATGTATGCTAAAGGAGTTCTAGTGCTCGGAATTCGATACCTCGATACCCGCCGAACCATCCAAACCCCCGCTACCCCTCGTCTCCCCCTCGTCTCTGGGAACATATCGTCTCCTCTGATTCCTTTCCAATATACGTCACCATCAATACTGCTTCGGGTGAGCCCAGCAGGGGTATTCCATGCTGTAGTACTGCTGACGAGCTGTCGAAAACCAGCCGACGCAGCCTCCGAATCTACAGAGCCAGAAATCATCAGCACACCGCCACGGTTCTGCTTTATGGGAAACCTCGACACTTACAGGTAAAAGCAGACAAATGTAATGAAGACCAGCAACTGGACACCAACAAAACACAGTATGCAGTGACATTCTCCCTCTGGAGGCTGAAAGCCTCTTCTTGACCTCCTCGGTGTTTTCAAGACTTTCTCTACATCTCTGTTTTCCTCGCTCTCTTGCGAACTCCAGTCGGGACTTGGTTCCCTGGGTCTCGAAAGGGAAACAGAGTCGATGGAGTGTTGGATGGTCCTCCGATCGGGACTCATCGGGGAGATTGGTGTCGAAGTGGTATCGGTCCGGCTTCCGTCAGATTCCGGGACAGGCGTCAGGTGGTAGGGGCTGGGGAAGGGCGAAGTGTGCGGGACGAAGGGCAATACGGGTGGGTCTGCGTGGCCGTCTTTCTAAGAGACACGACGGGGTGGCCGGGTTTGCGGGCGTGCTTCAGGGGCGGGAATGGTTGCGCCAAGCTGGTCAGCGTCGTCGGTCGCCACCTCAGGCTCCTGGATGCGTGGGACCTCCATTTTGGCGTAGATATCGAAGGCGGAGGCTGGATGCAAGAAAAGAGATGCTGATCAACGAGTGTTGTTTAGAGGCACGCGGCGTAGTGGAAGCCGAAGCCATGCCGAGCGAAGGGAGTGTGAGCTCTGGTTGCACCTTCCGTCGGCAACCAGGAGTGTTTCCCGGCTCCTCCTTTCCCCACCTGCATCTTTGCTAACAGCAAAATGACGAGTAGTCCGAAGCCAAAACCATCCCCTTTCTGGAAAGATGATGGCAGCTGCATTCCCGTCACTAGCCCGCGTGTTGGAGGGCTGCAGGATCTTCGTAATTTGTTGCTGGCTCCAGCTGGCGCGACAGTCACAACAACAAGGTCGGACCGATATTCTTCTTCGAGCACCAAAAACTAGGTTGCCGCCTTGTGCGGAGGAATTGGGGGGTCGTGTTGATGTGTCGAGCCCGGCACACATCACAACGTTCCAGTGGATTTATCCCTGAGGAAACCGCCAAATCCACCACCTCACCATGTCTCACACGCTTCGACCCTCATTTCGGGCCCTCTCCGACAAGAATGCCTCAGAAGATTACCCGTCTCAGCTGCCACTACCAGCCGCCGATGTCCTGGACGCGAAACGACTCGGGCCATGCAGCCTCACGCGGCTGGACAGCTCGAGAAACGGTCGTCAATGAGGCATCGTCATCGAACTGAGAACAGACTCACGTATAAGAACCGGCGCAGCATCCAACCTTAGCCCAAACTCCTTGCCTTGGCATCCCACGCACCTTCATCTCGAACATTCCCACAGACAACAACCTCACCCATCTATCACTCTCAAACAGTCAACACAACATCACCGTTACAAACAATTCAAGATGAAAAATCCGACCCTCACCCTTCTCCAGCTCTCCCTTGTTTTGGGTGGCGCCCTGGCAGTCCCCCTTCGGGAGCGCCAGGATGTCAGCGTCCCCATCCCAGAGCCTACTCCCATCCCTCCCTCGGAGCCCATGGTCCCGGAGCCTTCGGAGGCCCCGGCACTTCCCGAGGAGAGTGTGGCTCCCGGTCTCACCCCCGAGGCCATGGCCATGATGGCCAAGACACAACGGATGCCGCATCGTCAACCCAAGCATCAGGTTGCCCGTCGCCAGGATGATGAGGTCGACGACACCGAGACCCCCTCTGATGAGCTCCCTGAGGTTCCTGAGGAGGACCCCGAGGAGGAAGAGGAGGAGGATGTCTCTGAGGAGCCTGAGAAGAAGCGCAAGCGACAGGATGACGAGGAGGTTGAAGATGAGGAGGAGGAGGAGGGTGATGCCGAGGAGGTTGAAGAGGAAGAAGAAGAAGTTGAGGAGGGAGAAGAGGAGTCCGAGGAGCCCGAGAAGCGCAAGCGTCAGGCTGAGGACGAGGAGGATGAGGAATTTGAGGAGGAAGAGGAGGGTGAGGAATTTGAGGAGGAGGAAGGTGAGGATGAGGGCGAAGAAGACGAGGAAGTTGAGGGTAAGGAGGGCGAATTTGAGGAGGAGTTCGAGGAAGAGGATGATGGTGAGTTTGTCGGTGAGGAGGAGGAAGGTGAGGAGGGTGAATTCGAAGAATTCGAGGAAGAGGGCGAGGAGGGTGAGTTTGAAGAGGAATTCGAGGAGGAGGGCGAGGAGTTCGAAGAGGGTGAGCTCGAGGAGCCCGAGCCTGAGGCCCCTGCCCCTGATGCCGCCATGATGCAAGCCCCCAGCCGTCGTTCTCGCCGCGTTCGCCGGGCTCAAAATGCTCAGAACGCCCAGATGGCCCAGAACGCTCAACACGCGCCGATGCACCAGAACGCTCAGAATGCCCAGATGGCTCAGAATGACCAGAACGCACCCATGGCCCAGAACGCTCAGATGGCTCAGAACATGGCTGCCATGCAGAACGCTGTCGCCTCCGTCCAGAACCAAGTTGAGCAGATCCGTAAGATTCTCTGACCCCCCCTGAACCAATCAGTCACTAACGTCTGTGGCACAGAGCGCATCATCCAGGCCAACAAGGGCAACCAGCAGGCTCTCCAGCAGGCTCTCGTCGCCCCCATGACCCAGCTCCGTGATATGATGCAGGGCACCATTTCCCGCGTTGTCCTGCCTGGCCTCCCCATCGTCGGTGGTGGTCTCACTGGCAGCCTCGGCGGTGTGACTGGCAGTCTTGGTGGCGTCACCGGTGGCCTTGGTGGCGGCCTCGGTGGCCTCGGTGGCACTTATGGCATTCTCTCCAGCTTGCTTGGTTCCCTCTCCTCCCTCGTTCTTTCGCTCCTCAGCCTTGGTCGTATGTTTCCCTCCCCTTTTCCACTTGACGTTCAACGCTAACACTATTGAAAGCCGTTGGTGGTGCTACTGGTGGTCTCACTGGCGGTCTGACCGGCGGCCTTACTGGCGGTCTCACTGGCGGTATTCTCGGCGGTAGCAGCCCCGTTGGCGGTCTCCTCGGCGGCATCTTGTCTCCCGTCCAGACCCTTCTCCCTGTTGGAGGACTTACTGGCGCCCTCCCCGGTCTCTAGATGCACATAGATGCAAGGCTTGACCCCCAGTCGATCAAGTACCGGGAAAACCACGAATCACGACAGCCGGGTGAGCCATGAAGGAAGAAATCATTTGGTCTGTATCGGGTTGTATGACATTTTAATTGGGACTGGAGTTATTTAAGAGTTTGGATTAGTTTAGGTAGTCTCTCGGAATTTTAGTTCATGGCTTAAACGTTGAGATGTGCCCGTGGTACGTCCTGAGAACTTATTGCCGTCATTGCCTATGGGGTCATGTCCAGTTCGATCCAAAATGGCAACCCCCTTACCGAAAAACTCGCCCCTAACTCACCTGACGCACAGGCTCCAGGAAAACAACAACCTGCAGGCCGAAGAAGCCCACGTCTCTTTCCATTCCCCCCTTGTAATTCTCCCCACTGGTATATTTCCCCCCTCAACTACCAGTTTGGCCTGTAAGAAGCGAGACCACGGCTCATGATCCAGAACCTGAGCAAGCTCAGCGGCTGAGGCGCGGGCCTAAGGGTGCTCCCCGGGACGGCAGCGGCCCTCATAATGGCGGGGGAACCGCTGCTCGTCGTTCTCAGCCTGATTGTCTTTGGCGACGACTATGGTGCCATCAGCACGGCGAATACATTCGCAGCACCAACATGTATAGGTACAATGTGGGATGAAGCAATTATCACCTGTAGTGTGAGGGTTTCCATTCAACTGCATCCGTCCTGATTAAATATCTAGATGCTCATGGTGAAAAAAAAAGAAGAAAAAAAAAAGAGGATTGGGCGGGCCGGGATTTGAACCCGGGTCTTGCTAAACGCTGGAGAAACAACGCCGAATACGCTTAGAGAACGCTTTACCACTTCACTACCTGCCCATTTGTGCCCTCAATTTCTTTTGCTTTTAAACCTGGGGGTGACTGATGGCGGTTTAGGTTTGGTGTCTGATTCGATAATGGGTTTCAAGCTTGTCGCCTGTCGAGGTCCTGGGCACAGGGCACCAACGCGTCCATTGGGGTGGTGGGGGATGTGACAGGAGGGTAACTTTTCGGCAGCAGCGTTTCCGACATCTATCTATCGAAAGTTCACGCCTTGCTAGTCTTAGCTCTGTTGTTGGATTGGGGGTGTGCCTTGTTGTTGCCCCCATTTTGCCCGTGTTTTGAACGTTGGTGCGAGCCGAGCCAGAATTTCCCTTCCCATGGCCCCCCCGTCATCCGTCCCAGTGACATGACTTCCTCTCGCCACCACCGCGTCCAGTCTGTCGTGCTCTGAGATTGAGGTAAGCTTGGCAGGTGACGCGCGATCTCACGGCTGCTCTCTATGGCGGTTGACAAGAGCCAGCGTGAAACATCCTTATCGTCGTCGTTTCCTATCGCTAGCCTGTTTGTTCACCTAGGTGTCGGCGTGGTCGTATTTATTTTGTTTCTGCTGGCCACGTTGCTCGCCGCTAATATTGTGGTCCCGCGACTTTCCTCACATTGACTTGAACCCTGTGAACTCTGTGAGAAACGTCAGCCTTCATTTGCCCGAGTGAGTGGCTCTTTGGTATCCGGGAGCAAACGCTCCCTTTTCGACTTACCGGTATAGAAAGGCCCGGAAGTCGGCGAAATCCGTCCCGACGCCAGCAGTCCTCAATCGAAATGTCTCTCCGAAAACGGATCCGATGTTGTCCAGGAATATGTAGACCATCCGGGCTGCCTCGGCCCTCAGCTCGTCATGGGCGCCTAAGAATGTTGAGTTGCAAGGTACGAGCGGTTTTGTAGTTCCTGGCGAGGATGTTGCGTTCGAGTTGTACAGATATAAACGCCATCCGTTCAATTCGAAGATACATCATGTTGTTCCTGGAAGGCCAAATTATATTATTGGATAGCGACACACGCTGAAGCTCACGAGGACTTGTACTGGGATGCCTCACCTAGGTAGGTAGTAGAATGAAATCTCCCCAGAACTGAGAGTGATCCGGAGCGCTCACGGATGGGTGCAGCGGTGCCGTGGTGCAATGGCGGATGATTCTGTGAGTTGACCTACCAGGTGCAACCTGGTAATCGAACGAGTCAATTCAGTGAATAGAGGTGGCTTGCAAGGTAAAAAAGAAACTGCAGTTGATCTCCTTGCAGGATTTCAGTTGGCAGTAGGAAGTTGAAGGAAGGAGCGCGATGATGAAGGGGCGGCTATGATAACCAGAAGCGTGGGACAGCAGATGGGAAGGGGCGAAGATATATCTAAATGTACCGCTCAGGTTTCTTTTGGCATGAAGAGTTGCGATTTTTGTATCTAAAACCAGGAGCTTCTATATCTGGAGAAGGAAAATAACCCACCGGCCACCCATATTTGACAAACTTCAACCAGGTTTCAATGACCCATCGACAAACACAACAAACGCACTCCTTTCAGTCCCTCCACTCAGCCCGCTTCGCGTACCACTTGACAACATACACCAACGCAAGCAGAACAGGCACTTCGATCAGCGGCCCAACCGTCGCTGCCAAAGCTTGATCCGAGTTCGGCCCAAACGCAGCCACCGCCACAGCAATCGCAAGCTCAAAGTTGTTGCTTGCCGCAGTGAAGCTCTGCGTCACAGCAAACCCATACTTGAACCCCAGTCTCCGTGCCGCCAGCAACGTTGCAAGGAAGATTATGGAAAAGTAGACAATCAGCGGTGCTGCCACGCGCACCACAGATACGATCTGATGGACGACTTGGGCACCTTGCGATGCGAAGAGCACCAGGATGGTGAAGAGCAGACCGATCAGGGACCACGGGGCGGCGAACCGGAGGAAGACGTCGTGGTAGAACTTCGGGCCGCAGAATTTGAGGAGCGCAAATCGGGTGAGGATGGCGGCGCCCAGTGGTATTCCGAGGAATACACCGACACTCGTGGCGACGGTGGAGTAGGAGATGTCGTTCATTGCTGTGGGATGCGGGCTGAAGACGCGGAGGAAGAGGAGAGAGATGGGCGCGAAAAGAACGATTTGGAGGAGGGAGTTGACGGCTACCAGGATTGCGCAGTAGTCACCGTTTCCTCCGGCCTGTGGGTAGGGTGTGTTAGAGATGGGATTGTGGGAGGGGAGAGGGAAGACTGACCAGGTTGTTCCAAATCAGGACCATGGCGATGCAGCGAGCGATGCCGACGAGAATGAGTCCCTGACGCAACTCTTCCTTGTCTGGCAGAAAAGCCCAAGCGAGGCCAAGCTGGGAGGAAGTGTCAGTATGGAATCACGAGGTGTGTTCATGAGGCGGGACCTTACCATGATCAGCGGGGCGATGATCCAGTTGATCAGGATGCTGAAGCCAAGCTGCACCCAGATCTCTCGCTCGCGAAAGATTTTGTGCAGCTTCTCGTACTGCACCTTGCACAGAATAGGGTACATCATCACCAGCAACCCAATTGCTGGGGCGTGTTAGCCACGGTCTGGAAAGGGGGGGGCTCATCAACCAACCGATCGGGAGAGAAACGCCAACAAAAGTGCCCTTTTGCAGCGCTGGACCGGTGTTTTTGACGAAGTTGCCGAGGAGAATACCGATCAGCATCGCCAGGAAGATCCAAACGGCGAGGAAGCGGTCGAGAAAGCCAAGCGACTTGAACGCGGATAGCCTGTCGTCTTTCTGCGCCTCTTGCTGGCGCTGATCCTCAACATCTCCGTCGACTCTCTTCTCACTCAGAGAGCCATCTTCGGCTGCTTTTGCAGCCACGGATGGGTGTTCGGGTTCTGGCGATGCCATGATGGGAAGGAGCTGTGGCTTGCTGCGGTGGCTTGCTGATTGTCGTTTTGTTTACTTGCCCCTGAATCAGGCCTGCTGCGTTGCACTTCCGGCTGAAACCAGTGCAAAGTGTTGAAAATTAGATTTTTGGATGCCCAAGACATACAATTTCTGGGACATTCAAAGGAAGCAAAGCCTTTTTATTTTCTCGCCATTCCATGCTGCGAAGGCAAGCATGGTAACGTGGTAGTGGTGTTCCGCCCCGAGCACTAACAAATCTGATGTTTTGCCAACTGCCAATCACAGCGAAGGAGTGACACACCCCCTTGGGAGATCTTGCTGCCAATGGTGCCCAGGCCCTGATGGATCTGGATGGGGCGCTACGTGGGGGCAGCAGAGGTAGCTCTGGTTCTGCCATTCACTTTGGAAATTTCCCCAAAGCCTTGCTGAATATGTTGACGGCCCATTGAATACAGTGAAGGCCTGTTACAGTACATGTGAGGCCCTCGTAGAAAAGAGCAGACCTACTGTGTAGTTGCACGGGCGGATTGTACTGGACACCAGAGCTCTGTTGGTACCTCCCACCACGTGGGGGTTCATAAATTCTCCGACCTCAATTGACCATCCAAGTCAAGCTACCTACCAACAAACCTGAATTTCTCCATGAAATCATCAGGACAGTACTGCATGCGGGAAAAAAACACATCGGAAGCAAGCCAAGTGCATGACGAGATTTCCTGTTGATTCATTTGCGAATCGGTTCATTCCGAGGTTGCAGCGGCCCCCAACCCTCGGAAGCTGAGCCGTCGTGTGCCTGATGCAGTCTCCGCCTACACCATGACCTCTGCATGGCTTACGGTCATTGCCTACCCGCAAACCTCGGCGGACTGGCGTCGCCTATCTACTCCAAGGCGAAATGTGCCACCTTGAATACAGCCTTAATTGCCACAAGAGCAATGGCAATGATCTCACTCAAGCAACCGCGGTGGGTCAGCAGCCGCAGCCGTTGTCCAACCCGAAAGATGGCCGAACCAGGCCGCCTCAATACCGGGGGTTGCAGCGGCGGGAATCTGTGCTCCCGCGCATGCAGCTTGCTGAACGAATGTCAATTTATCCTCTACGGTGATGACTAGATACACTTGGTTCGGCCTTGTTTCAATCGAACCACTTCTCGTGTGCATCCGTAAACAGCACACGGCTACGGGCAATGGATACCAATGATTGTGGCCATCGGGATGGCCACGGTCTAGCGTATCCGACGGGGTATAGCCATCAGATCATCTCATGGCTATTGCACGTACTACGAGATGAAGGTATAAGACAGGAAGACCATCTGCGCCACCGACAAACCGCCCATCTTCATCAGCCTCAGCCCCTTTCAGATCAAATAAACAAACTGCTGTCAGATAAGATCTTCCCTTCACGAAAGCGGCTTGGAATTCAAGATCAGAAGAAGAGACCTTGACAATGGCCTGCACCTTCCACCATGGAGCCGCGAAGCCGAAGTCGACCCCCACGGCCGAACATGATGGCACCGACGCCGAGGTGCCCGAGGGGGTGCCGATTCCACACCCTCCAGAGAAGCTCTTCACCAAGAATCTCAAGGAGATGGATCCCAACTTCGCCGTCAGCTCCTTCTGGAGACTCGCAGACATCTACGGACCTATCTTCTCCCTCAACCTGATCAAGCGCAAAGTCATAGTCATCTCTGACTATCAGCTGATCAACGAGGTGTGCGATGACAACCTCTACGAGAAGCTCGTCACCGGTGTCCAGGAGAATATCCGGCCCTTGACGAAGAACGGATTGTTCACTTCGTACTCTGACGAGGAGGTATGTTGCGCCTTGGTCGGGATAATGCCAGGGAGATGCTGATACGGATGTAGGAATGGGGAATCGCTCATCGAACATTGGTTCCCGTCTTTGGACCGATGCACGTGCGGAAGATGTTCCCGCAGATGACGGACATCCTGTCACAGATGGTGTTTCGATGGGACAGATTTGGTCCAGACCACCGGATCTCGACCATGGATGACTTTACTAGACTCGCGTTTGACGTGATTGGGGTATGTCAAACCCCTTTCTTCAACCCCTCAGTGGTCACATGTGGCTATCTGTCCACCCTGGGTATCTCTGGGGAAACCAAGGCGTTCCGTTATCCTCAATACCCCTGAAA